GTGGCAACCAAATTTGAACATTCTCAAACAAAAAACAGCAGAAGTTGATATATATGGCCTTCTCTACGCCCTTATTTTAGTTTTAGTTAGTGTCAACTTATATTGGATTTACACCAAATTAGTACTAGAGTTATGGTAATTTCAGATGTAAATCTTCTCTCCTACAGCTCAATTTTAATTTTTGACAACTTAGGTTGGATTTTCACTCAACTTGTACTAGCACTACGGTGTTTATTTCCGTGTATTTTTTTATGTAGAATTAGTGTAACTAAAAATTTAGGTGTGGCAAAAAGAATAATTCACCCAATTATTACAGTACCTTTAGTCTTGGTACCCTAAACCCTAGAACTCCCTTCCATGCATCCGATTTTTTTATTATATAACATGCTCACAAAATTTGGATGTAGAAGGGATGTTTTCCACCTGGGTACAACATACCAAAGCTAATGGTTTATCTTCTACCCCCTATATTTCAAAATGTAGGTCATTTCATTTTTTTTTGTCTAATGAAATCAAACCTCTCTAATTCTAATAAAGAAATAAATTTGACAAAGAAATTACCTCGGGGGCCTAAAATTCCAATGAGATACCAAGTATAACTGCTAAGAAATATAAATTTCCTTTGAGGTTGTTGTATATCACTAAGGTGTATAGCATTTTTCTTGTCGATTGTGCTGGACCTTAAAGAAATTGCACCATTTCGTTGGAGGTTGGCAGTCACAAAAATGCTCACAGCGTGCCATATGGGTGCTGCCCCGCACTACTATGCGTACATTATATTCACCCCACACTGGAGGCGTGTGGTCATCAACATTTAGGACCTGAATGGTTGAAAGCCAAATTTTGGTTGCTGAAATTTGGGGAAGCCAAGCTTTTGGCTTCTATTTGGTTTGTTGCCAAAATTTGGCCAATACCTCACATTTATCTTGTCAAATATGTGGCAAATATTTTTGCCTAATGTTTGGTAACTTTTGGTTACCAAATCTTTGGCTTGACAAATTTTGAAAGCCAACCAAGTAGCCCTTAATATGAGGGGATAAGAGAGGTAGACGTGGTATCATCTCCATGTCCTACCACCACCCATCACCTTGGACCGTATAGCGACACTCTCTTGACAGCATGTGTCAGGGACAAGGCACAACATGCTAATAGGATTGATTTGAAAACATTGTAGCAACTCTCTTGTAATTTTATGGCGTGCGTGAGTACTTGAGTGTGTGGCCATCCTTAGATATAAAAGGCCAGTGGCAATATATATCGATAACATTATCTTATACAAATGGGTGGCATGATAGCCGTCCGAGCCATTGGCTATGGTTAGCTAATTATGAAATGACGATGGGTCATAGCAGGAAGTGAGCTTAGCTCAATCGATGAGTGGTATGATCGTGCACTTAACCACTCGTATTCGACTTCTTTTTTACGGATTTGGATGTTTTTTTTCTTATTGAAAAACTGGTTAGTTCCTTTCTCCTTTTTTTAATTTTCCTTTTCAAATGATTATCGATCATCTGATTTGCAAGAGTATGGAAGAGCATACATGCATGACAATGTAGCCATATACTGTTGTATATGGAGTAGCTACAGCAGCAGGGATTTGCTGGCGATCATAGTGGCATGTACAAGATGGAAACCAAAAAAACACAGATACGGCTATACTCATTCATACGTGGTTCCTTAATCTAAAAAAACAAAAAACACAGACGCCGCATGAAATACTCTGAGTCTCAGCACTGATCACATCGCATCATGTGTCCATCGTCATGGATGCCCCTTCAATTCGAACCAACAACAGCGAAGCCTTGGGGAGCGCGAATAGCGCAACGCCGGCCGCTCCACCGGTCTGCCCCAGACCACGCACGCACCGGCCTTCCGCCTACGTGAAACACGCGCGGCGCTCGCGCGTCGTCCGTCCGACGCCAACGGTCGCCCGCTTGCAGCGCTGACCCCTGCTGCATGCGTCGCCGGCGCTGCTGATCCACCCGTCCTCCCTATAAGTAGCCACCCCCGCACCGTCGTGTGTCAATCACCCACACAGAGAGAGACATTAATTCGAAAAACACGACGATGGGATCCCTCGGCAATAACATCGTGGCCGTGGCGGCCGTCCTGGCGGCGCTCGTCGCCGGCGGCTCGTGCGCGCCCCCGAAGTTTCCGCCTGGCCCCAACATCACAACCAACTACAACGGCCAGTGGCTCACCGCCAGGGCCACCTGGTACGGCCAGCCCAACGGCGCCGGCCCTGACGACAACGGTAAGTCGTAGTCGTAGGTTATTATATTGTTGCCTTGAGATTGGGAATTCAATTGGGCCGGCGGTCAGCCGATCGATCGATCGATCATGCAAGCATGTGTGATATGATGCAGGCGGTGCGTGCGGGATCAAGAACGTGAACCTGCCACCCTACAACGGCTTCACGGCCTGCGGTAACATCCCCATCTTCAAGGACGGCAAGGGCTGCGGCTCATGCTACGAGGTCAGCATCTCACTCGATCTGCTGTCTGCTTGACGACGAAGCATGCATGCCTTCGTTTGGCTTGATGGATGCATGGGCAGCAGCTAACTGCTTTACATGATGTTGGGCATTGTTCATGCAGGTGAGATGCAAGGAAAAACCCGAGTGCTCGGGCCAACCGATCACGGTGTTCATCACCGACATGAACTACGAGCCCATCGCTCCCTACCACTTCGACTTCAGCGGCAAGGCCTTCGGCTCCCTGGCAAAGCCCGGCCTCAACGACAAGCTCCGCCACTGCGGCATCATGGACGTGGAGTTCAGGAGGTATATATTGCTGGACGACGATCTCAGAAAAACTAGCTTCTCCATGTCCATGTCCAATATGCCATGCACACGCAACAAGCAGCGCAAAACTTACACGCCGGCCGTCGTCCTGCAGGGTGCGGTGCAAGTTGCCTGGGGCGAAGATCCTGTTCCACGTTGAGAAGGGGAGCAACCCCAACTACCTGGCCGTGCTGGTCAAGAACGTGGCGGACGACGGCAACATCGTGCTGATGGAACTCGAGGACAAGTCGGCGCCGGGGTTGTTTAAGCCGATGAAGCTCTCCTGGGGCGCCATCTGGAGGTTTGACACACCCAAGCCGCTCAAGGGCCCCTTCTCCATCCGCCTCACCAGCGAGTCCGGCAAGAAGCTCATCGCCAAAGACGTCATCCCGGCGTACTGGAAGCCCGACACCCTCTACTACTCCAACATCCAGTTCTACTAGACTTTTTGTATGTCCTTCATCCGGCGGGGGCTGCGGACCTGCAGCAAGCCAAGTTGGCCGCCTATGTTTATTTGCATGAGGGAGCATGCACCGCTAACCATACTGAGACTTCAAAATTCTAGTATGTAATCCTGTTGTTCGGGTTCATGATCAAATTCAAAATAATGGAAAACAAAAGGTTAAATATATATATCATTGATGCATACTTGAAATGTGCTATTGTTCTAGACTTCAAACTGTTCCAACATATATATACGCAGATAGCAGAATGTGAGAGTGCAGAGTTTCTGTATTCCATATAACAAAAAACTTATGATTAGGCATGGGGAAAAATAGATACAAATTTTCCACATCCCAGGAAATGGTTCATCTCCAAGAAAAATGCTCTGATTACATATTCACTTGCTGAATACTTGCAGTGCATCCTGAGATTTTTTAATAACAAAACTAAACATGGAAGCCAATGAATGCCGATTGAACCTGAAACACTTTTGTTCCAAGCACAATACTACTCTTATGTACAAATGTACAATTCACTGCGAGTTGCAACTTACATCCCAAAGAGAAGGCTTCTGAACTAACGATAGATTATCGAATCATAACGATAACAAAATTAAAGTTGAATGAACCAATTGGGGACGGGTTCATCTGCCTCATCTTTTCTTCTCTTAATGCATTGATTCACCAACCTCCCGCGAGTTCTTGAAAATAGAAAGAACCAATTGCGATGGTGGCTGTGCCATGTAATTCTCTTACTCTTAATGAAACACATGCTAAGGCACGTTCGCGAAAAACATTACAATGGTGGCTTCGGGAGCGTTCGGCTGGCTGGCTGGGCTGAGCCCGGCTGGCCAGCTCACTCACAGAAATACTATTCATGTCCAGACAGAACAGTATTTTTCTCTCACAACAATCAGCCGGAACAGTATTTTTTAAGTCCTGCCGAACAGGCCCTTCTGCTGCTGCTGCTGCTTGAAATGTTCCTGTATGGCAGAATAAAGAGCATGATTTGGGATGAGATGATGGTGTGCCAGAGGTAATTTTGTCATTGGGGACGTGCTGCGCCCACTGTGGAGCCAGCCCTTTATGACCTCTGCTTCGTAAGTGTACCCATCTGCGGCAATATGAGGATTCCTCATCACCTCCTACAGTTTTATTTCACAAAAAAAGGAACCAGTTGTTAGTAACCCGACGTTATTAACACACTTCACATCAGTATATGAACTTGTTTTTTTACTTAAGCAAGCACAACAATCTTCTACTTTAAAATCAAACTTATTTCATGGCAATATGAGGATTCCTCATGGACTCATGATGCACCATTCATCTAGAATGGAGTGGTTCTTAAAACAAATACCCTACTAGAGTTTGGAATCATGAAGGTAGGAAATTATTTAATAGAGCACTATACTAACCAAAAATCCAAACTAAATGGTTCCTGTTCTACTGAATAAGCTAGCAAATCTAGTCCGACAATGAGCTCCAAGAATATCCAACACAAAATGACTTTCTGATGGTTTCAGGATGGAAAATAGCAGTACTGGAAACAAGAGACTCTTGGGATGGGGTTGGTTGCTATGACGCTTTTTTTATAACATGCTTGAACATTTATATTCTTTTAAGAGGAAGAGAGTTTCAGCGACCACATGCACACTCAAGCCATAAGAAGCTCAAGTGGCACAAGACTCAGACAAGGTTTCTACTCGAACAAAAACACTTATTGCTTATAGTTTAGGAATGCTGTTTCATTTGATTTGTTCGGTAATTTGAGTTACTTAATTGTCTTGGAGTTTTGTAAATAAATTATGTAATACCTTGCTCTTCTGAAGTTCCGGTTCTAACAAACTGCATAAATAAGGTTCTGTAGCACAATAAATGGACATAAAAAATACCTGAGAAATAGGACTTACGAAGCAAGAAGGCGTGTGGCTCTCAACAAACTGGTATCCAAAGGACCGTGATGTGGTTGACAGCAAAGCTGATTTCACCAGGGGCTCAATCACACACCACACGTCACTCATACGACTCGGTCGCCTTCTTCTGCTAAGCTCTGCACACTGCAGACCCAGAAGCATCAGCTTCTTGGCTTGCACAAATGGCCACTCCCCAGCTGATTGGTCAACAAGAAGCTCCAACTCATATTTCTCAAGTGCATCCTCCACTGCCCTTCCAATGCCTAAAGCTGGCTTCCCAGTTACTAGTTGGAGTATGACAATGCCCAAAGAGTATATGTCAGACCGTGCTGTTAGCTCCCCGGTGGTAAGGAATTCAGGGTCCATGTAGGCAAAAGTGCCTCTTGGGTTCATCGTTTGGTAGAGGCTTGTGGACATTGTGCTAGACTTAACTAGGAGGCAAGAGATGCCAAAATCACTGAGCTTGCTGACCAAATTGGCATCAAGGAGGATGTTAGCAGGCTTCAGATCACCATGGATTACTGGGTGAGGCTTGTTAGAGTGAAGGAAGACGAGTGCAGAACATATCTCACCAATGATCCTCGTACGGACTTGCCATGTTAGTGGAAGTGTGTTGTTTTCACAGGCTAGACGGTCTTCAAGGCTTCCATTTGGTAGGAACTCATACACAAGACCTGAAGCTTCTGAGCAAGAACCCATAAGCGTTACAAGGTTTGGATGCCGCACCCTACTAAGAACAACAACCTGCACAGTAAAATTACTTTAGTAACCTAAAACAGTAACATACGTTGCATAATTCAAGTATTCAGCAGTTATTACCTCTTGCCGAAACTGCGACTGCCCTTGCAAGTTATGAGAGCGCAGCATCTTAATTGCCACGGTTGTGTTGCGCAGGAGACCTCTATAGACACGCCCAAATCCACCTTCACCAACCTTCAGTGTGTCACTGAAATTCTGTGTTGCCAGCTGCAGCTCTGACAAAGAGAATTCGGTGTTCCATGTCAAACTTGGGCAAGATGATACTGTCTTCTCTTTCTCTTTGCGCAGCTCATCTGCATCCTTGAGCGCATTTTCCCTTTCATGCTTCAATTTCTCATACTCCAACTTCTGTGAATGAATAAGGGATTTACTTGCTGCCAACGTATCCTCAAGATCCTTGACAATGCCACCATAGTCATCGACTTGTTGCTCTAATGTTTCCTTCTGTTCGCTCACCTTAACAAGCTTATCAATGATGTCATCTCTGTCATGTTTAAGTGCATCCATTTCTTGCTTCATCCGTTCTATGATGCCATTTGCCTTCGCTAGGGCTTCCTTGACTTCTTTCCTCTTCTTTGCCTCATCCAAAGATATATCCTCACAATTGTTTGCCTATAATCATCAGAACTTTGTGTCAGATTCTACATAGTTTCCATGATAATGTGGTGAAGATTTTACCTTTCGGCGAAACAAAACCGGTTCTTCCTCTGCTTTTTCTCTCCTCACAGACTCATCAAACGCTTGCTTCTGATGCTTCTCAGTCTTAGTGGAGGCTTCTCCAAGTTTATCAAATATGTCAATATTTGAATTCATGGCATCCTGTCATGCACCTTCATCTGATCAGATCAATTCCCAACTCAACCCTCTACTACTCAATTTGGGTCTTAAAAGGCAAACCTGTTCATGTCATGAAGAGTTCTGAAGATTATGCCCAACATGTACTAAGGGTACGATTTCAGAGGCATCATGTCTAGGCGTTGAAAATGAGCTGTAGTCACTGAACCCCTCGTCAGTCACAGTAGAGGATGCTTGGTGCGAACTTGGAAAATTACCTCTTGGAACACTATCCCAGGAACTGACAGAGGTATCCTCTATGCTTCGCCTGCTAAGACTTGTCCACACAGACAACCGAGAAGGTAGTCGCAATGATGTTCTAACAGATGCAGGCACAACCTTTTCTGACATCGACCTCTGTATGTGACCATCAACCGCATTGCATGCATATCCGTTTGGTTGTCCACCCCACTCAGATAAAGTGGATATTGAACTTGTGGTAGCTGGGGGTGTTGCTGCACTGTGCACAAGAGCACCAGCCTCCCTGTATAAAGTTGAGTTTAGGGAAAATAATTAAGTGCTTATAGGAAAAGACTGAGCAGCAACAAAATGGTAGCATCTAAAATATGATGTGCAGATAGGAAATGAGATCATAAGAATAATCTTAAATCGATATGCAAGTAGGAGGTCCAAGATAGATTAAAGGAAGCAGTATGATTTAAATGCTGCTCATAGACAAAATCACCTTACCTAACAATATAAGACTGATTTTTTTCCTTGAATACACAGGAGGGTTGCATATCATTTCATTAAGAATTGAGGAAAGTACACCAGGAGAGAGAAATAAATCTCCCAGCCCCTAACACACACCCAGGACAGATACTACACAACACAACCGTGACACAAGGAAGTGAGCCTAGCTCAACTGGTTGGGTGGGAGGTGTGGTTGTGCACCCAACCACCCAGGTTCAAGTCCCCTCTTGGCTTGAATTTGGTTGCCTATTTTCTCTTCTTAATGAAAAACCGCCTAGTTCCTCCTAGGTTAGATCTCTTTTTTTTTTAACACACCGCCGGAGAATATGATGAGCTATCAGAATTCTTACCTAGTGCATATCAGATGTTCCTTACAAACAAACCAAATCTTGCACGAAGTATCAGCTTTCTGCAGGACAGCAAGCGCTGTTTTGGATTTAGGCATTTTCATTTTCCTGGAAATAGGAAGTAGGGCATCACTAGGTAAAAATTCTAACCTATTAAATTATAAGTAATGGATATAAGTGCTGAAGTGTGAACCTTCGCTGCATACCTAGAGAAGTGCTTGTCAGCAGCTGCTCCCATGATGAGTTTGCTCACACCATGCAGTGAAACAATCTCTGCAATCCCTTTAGCAACATTGTCATTTTCAATCACAAGTTTCTCACATTTGACCTGAAAAGGGAGTGATGCTTCAATAATTTCCCTACTCTGCTCATGCCTCATTTCACTTCTAAAATGCTTGTCACAATACAAAGATTGAAAGATTATTGGTTGCACCTTCATTTTTGAGCACTGGTGAATGTACTCATCCAAGTGTTTGTCAACCTTCTCCCTCTCATACTGTCTATAAGCACTGACCTGCTCTTGCCTCAGTTTACTTGCATGGATCTTGCTTCCCACTGACAAATAATGAGATGATAATGTAAGTTTGTAATTACACCACGTGAATGAAGTATGTAACTTGAAATAATCATCATATTCATACTACATTTCAGCGGGACTAACAATAGGGCATCCTGAACAACCTAAATTTACACATACGACTAGGTATCCTCAATTCACCAGCCACCAGCGAGTTAGTTTAAGCAAATCCCTACTAGGACTCTAGCATTGGATCAAATTCCAGTTATTACTTTCGAAATTTGAACTATGAATTCATCTCACTCCATGACTGCAGAACATGTTAACAGTTCTCCTCCAGTTAAGATAAAGTATTTCCACTTTCCAGACACAATATGTTGGGAATACTACTATTACTAAAGAATTTGAAAACGGAAATCCAGTTGCCAACCAACTGCCGAAGCAAATTATCGAATACAGATCCCAACGTCGCTGCCTTTGCAAACCAACAGTAACCCGGTTACTCGACCCAAGCCGAAAGAGAAATCTCAGTGCAAACCCAGCGGAGAGGTGGAATCCCCCCGGCGTCAGCCTCGCGCGCCCCCCGCCATCCCCCCCCCACCCACCATTGTGACGCTAACAGGTGGGGCCTACGTGATATGTGGTGCCAAAAAGGCCTGACGGGAGGCCATTAGGCCAAGTCAACCGGCGTGGGGAGGCCATTAGGCCAAGTCAACCCATTACCCTTATTTTTTACGTATTTTTATTTTTTGCAGAATGTAAGGCATTCCGTACAACTTTCAACTGTAGCAGTACGAGTCTAGGACAAAGCCACACAGCAGTACTCAGTACGGCACTGCGATAATACAATAACAACTTATAAATTCTCACGTTTGTGTGTGTTTTGCAAGGAGCGCTTGTATTAAAATTGGTGGAACTAGCTATTGCATGCTAAAACTTGCAAAATCTACTGAAAATTTTAAATGGACGGTTCAAACCTATGAGCTCCAATATTTTTTTGGGTTGATCATCGCTAGCTCTATAAATTCTTGGAGTTAGAGCGGTTGACACGTTAACAGTGTTTAGTTTAGCAGTTCTATTTTTATTTTGCATTAATTAAATGCATTTACGCAACTATGTTTTTTTTAACAAACTCAAAATCCAACATAATTTCGGAAATGGTGAATTGTCAAACACGGCACTAATCCATGGTGTCGAACTAAATCGCTACCTCATTCTTACTAGCAAACGTGCATGTGCATTGCAATGGCAGTCATTTAGACGACTTCAGTTCCCAGATCTATTAATAATCGCATCATGGGTTAGGATCCATCTTGGAACTGGATTCACTACTGTTCCTCGACCTATGTTAGCCACTCTAACTTACATGAGCATGAGAGATTTAAAGATTTATTATCTAGCGCTCACATTATATGTTCACGTTCATTTTAGGATTGTATACTTCACACCGCATTATGGCGAGTTACATGTGCAGCTATAACTTATACAGACATGTGAGAGAGTGACGTACCAATATATATTTAGATAATATAAATATAGATTAATTTATTTTTGGATAGATGGAAACATGGTCGGTTGTTCTAAATGGATTGTAGTCAGATGGACATGCCATTAATTTAATTTAACCCATATATAATTAACTTTGACGTTGAGTTTGTTTGGATCACGATGGTGCATGCGGATGTACACCAGTCGACTTGAACCTGTTCTCTAGGACGACCATATGAACTCACGTTACTTGTAGATTAGAGTGAAACCGAGTAGTTTTCATGTGCATGTTTTTTTGGAAAGCAAATAAATGTTTGAAAGGGACGTGAAACAGGCCGCAAATAAAACTAAGAAGACAAACGCGGGATGGACGAACAATGACCAAGATCACTCATGTCTCATGGTGGAGATATAATTAAAAAATTAGCTTCGCTTAATTTATTTATATTTTCCCAATTTCTATTTTTATCCTTTTATATTTAGATTTGTATTTAGATTCCTGTTCAAGCTACTCAGGACTATTTGTTCAATTTCTATTTTTATCCTTTTCTATTTAGATTTGTATTCCTATTCAAGCTACTAAGGACAAAAAGCCTGCATGTTTGATAATATCAAACAGAAGTCTATATGTATTATAATTCTTCAGATTATCTCAAGAAGTCCCACCAGACGGGATAGTATCCACATTTAGAATTAGTTAGGGAAAGACAGGGGAAAAAATAGGTGGAGAGAAATTTTGCCTCTTTAATATTAGTATAAATATAGATTTGCAGGAAAAAAAATCTCCCTCTGTCCTTGATGAAATCTATTTTTAGAGTTGTCCTAAGTCAAACTTTTTATGTTTGACTGGATTTATAGAAAAATGTACAAGTATTTATAATATCAAATAAATATATTATGAAAATAAAGTTTATGATGCATGTAATGATACTAATTTGGTGTCACAAGTCTTGACGCTCTTTTTTATAAATTTAGTCAAATTTGAAAAAGTTTGACTTCAGACAACCCTAAGAATTGATTTATTCATGGGCAAGAGTAATAACAACAATGGTTAGGAGAGGTTGCCAGGTGTTAAATACACCTGTCTCTCTGGTATAGAATAGAGGTGATTATCTATTTTGGTGTAAGCTTTGGTTAGCAACACATGAGACGTAGGTTTTCATGGACACTGCACACAGTGCTTAGAGGAAACAAAAAGCATAAAGCAATACCTTGTCGACAACTTCAGATAGACAACGTTATGGAAGGGGACGTTGTTTACGACATATCTTCCTTAATGGCGGAAGTAAGATTATTTATTTATTTATTTATTTATTTATTTTTGGCAAGAAAACAGAAGCAACAACGTGGGGAGGATGCCATACTGGATCATCGACTCCCTCTTCTCTAAAATGTCTGATGTCGTCTGAAGAATGAGATAAACTGGTAAAGACAAAACTACCTTGAGAAATCAGAACTTGACAAATTACAAATTTATTTTCTTTCATAGTCACAACCAGTTATGCACATGCTACACAAAGAATCATAAGACCAATTTTGTAAACACTATGACTTTAAAGGAAAATAAAAATCTCTAGCTTTCTTGCATCCCCTTTAGGATCCAAGCAGGAATGAATTGAGAATCATATAGATGTAGCCTGTAGGCATAAAGGGCCTTATTGGTTTGCAGCCAAAATTTGGCTTGCCAAGGATTTGGCAAACAATGATTTTAGCTATTGTTTGGTTTGCCACCAAAACTTGTCAATCTCTCACATTTGGCTTGCCAAATCCATGGCAAACTATTCACCTAACTTTGGCTGGCCAAATCTATGGCATGGCAAATTTTGGTCGCAAACCAATCAGGCCCAAACTCCCACAGCGAGGGATCTGCATCGGTCATGGTCCACGCTGAAGATGTTCTTGGATGACTAAGCGAAGCGCTGAGTTTGGAATTGTAACGCAGTTTCGAAGTGGCAGATTGGTCATGGGTGATGTGTCATGGGCTTCAAGCCAGTCCTCTATGGCCTCGGCTTCATAGGTGAATCCATCCGCTGCTATGTGTGGATTCTTCATGATCTTCTGAGCTCATTAGCAGCATCCATATGAATATGTCAGCACAATTTCTGATGAATGAAAGCAACTATCATGGACATAAAAGGATTCAATGTGAAGCAACACACGTACCTGCAGAATCGGGCACAAAAAGTAATGTGGCACGCTGCTTTCATCCTGAATAGATGAAGAAGTTGAGGGGCACGCTGATAAGGAGGCACTCTTCATCATTGTCTCAACCACCGGCCACACATCGGTGACAAGATCTGCGCGTCGCCTCCTTTTCTCCGCTGCGCATCTCATAGCGATACGCGCAAGCTGCTGCACCTGCACAAAGGGCCATTCACCGGCGGATCTGTCGATGATGGTGTGCAGTTCGTCATTGATCATCGCATCCTCCACTCTCTTCACTATCTCCCTTGGGTGTCTCCCTGTTAAGAGGCGTAGGATGATGATACCAAACGAGTAGATGTCTGATCCTTGGGTCAGCTCACCGTGGGCCATGTATTCTGGGTCTGAGTAAAACATTGTCCCAATTGGATGGTCAGTAAGATGGACCATGGTGCTGGTGTCGGATGGCACAAGAAATCTAGCGATGCCGAAGTCTCCAAGCTTGCTCACTAAATCAGCATCAAGGAGGATGTTGGAAGGCTTAAGATCACCGTGGACAATAGGCTTGGGCTTATGACTGTGGAGGAAGATTAGCGCAGAACAAATCTCCCCAATAATCCTTGTTCGGACCTGCCATGTCAGCGCTGGGGTGTTACCCTTGCAGGAAAGACGGTCTTCAAGGCTTCCATTAGGTAAATAATCATACACAAGAGCTGACACTTCATCGCAGGATCCTAAGAGATTGACAAGATGTGGGTGCCTCACTTTGGTCAGGATCAAAACCTGGAATGACAGCACAAATTATGAATCACTTTGCATAACCGCTATATAAATACTAGTAACATGAAATTGCAAGATCCTATTTTAATTACCTCGCGTTGAAACTGCAGTAAGCCTTGGATGTTCTCATTATGACGTAAAATCTTAATGGCCACGGCGGTGTCAGAGATAGTGCCCTTGTAGACACGTCCATACCCACCTTCTCCAATTTTTAGTAATTCACTGAAATTTTCTGTTGCCAGCTTCAGCTGATCCAAGGTAAACTGAGTGTGTCCTTCAGAATATCTGACTGCACTGTCCCTGTAAGGCCACAACTGGTTGTCAAGGGAAGTTCTGTATGATTCCAAATCTTTTTCTATAACATCAGAAACACACTGCACCGGCGCGAACTTGGGCTTATTTTTCTCCTGAAACTTTGCAAGGTATTCGTCTCGGTGGATCTTAAGCTGACTGATTTCTTCTCTCAGTGTTTCCATCTCATGTTTATCCTGTTCATGAGCTTCCTTAGCTGCTCCTAAAGGTTGAAGCAAGATCTGGTCACTTGCTTGACAAAACTTTTCAAGATATTCATCACGCTGGATCTTTAGCAGTTCAATATCCTTTTTAAGCTTTTGTATCAAGTGCTGATCAGCAGCGCGAGCTTGCTCAAATCCTTTCGAGTGCTGTAGCTCTTTTAAGAGGTGCTCCTGTAGTTTCTTAGCCTGAAAAGGTAGCTATATTAACTAGATGTTATGTGCATAGAATGGATGGAACATGTGCTTACTAGTGACAGATTAATAGTGTAACAATAATTTACTCATGACACTATAATGTGTTTCCATACTCGAGTGTGAATTAAAAACATACATTAGTGAAGAAAGTGAGAACAAAAAAATGCAGAAGAAGTTTACTTTCTTGCGGACGAGTAGGAGCTCCTTCTCAACCTGTTGGCGCTGGCAAGACTCTTCAAAGTTTTCTTTCTTCAACTTGACAATCTCATCAAAGGCCTTCTGAAGTCTATCTTGCAAGTCGGCATCAAAATTCATATCTTCCTGTCAATAAGTTACAGATGCATCACAAAGGATACTTGCTTCAATTGATGAACATCCACCAAAAGAAACAGTTCAGGGTACAGCTCAATAAAGAACCAGGATGCTAAGTTTGGTGCAAACCAGATCTCTATGAGGTGCCGGACTCTGAACATGTTCTGTTGCGGGCATCTTCAGATCAACTGAGAGGGACGACAGAAGTTCAGACCTAGAGCCACTGTGCTCGGTACTGCTGTCCTCTTGCAAGGACAACAAATCTGAGTAGTCCAATTCATCAGACACGAATGATGATACACTGTAAGAGCTTGAGCTAGCACCTGAAACAAAATAATCATGTCATAATAAGCAGTTAAGAGTAAGGGATAAGGATTTCTTCTTATCTAATTCTAGTAACATAACTACAGGAAAAAGGTCTTAGCATGTCCATGTCTGACGGTCTTATCAATAAGGTATCTACTTCCACCCTAAGATCTACAGCACTGATAGGAGGTTTGGCTTCTATTTCCCATCTGTGCCAAGAACGGAAACCAAAACCGAAGCAAGCTATTATCCCAGGGGGAATAAATTCAGGAAGAAGAACAGTTAGCAAGGCTATCGCACCGCAAAAACTCTGGAGCCATGGCGGCAGGTAGGCTCATACATGCAGTAAAAGATATCCAGAGGCAGCCATAGACTTTAGTTAATATTCAGAGGAACTTATTAAGAACCGAGAAGAGCAGAGCTCATAAGAATTTCGCGCAGTCTCACTAGATTCCGGGTAGCCTGAGCATGGGATCAGAAGGTTGATAATAAATAAAAAGAACCTTGTAGGAGTCGTTACCTTGGCGGCGACTCATCTGCGGTAAGACTGAAGCGTGGAAAAGGAGATGGAAATTTCTGCCCCCTCGTAACAGGGAATCTTCTCAGCTACGCGCAGCTTGTCAGCGTCCCTCCCCCGGGGCCGTCTGAAAAAGAACGAAAAAATCTCCGGGAAGGCAGAGAGTGACCATGGCTTTGGTGACTCGTTTTCACGAGGAATTTCTGCGAAACGTCACTGAGCTGAAACGTTGCGCCCACAATTGACAATTTGAGCCCTCTTTCGGCTTATAAGCCGTACTTTTTTAGCTAACAAATAGTATTTTTCTTTAATAAATTAGCCAATAGTACTTTCAGCCATGGCTTATCAACCAAACGAACATGGCATTGACTGGTTCGTTTGTTTCGCTCTCAACTTGCCTTGCATCGCTGGAAAATCACAATTATCAAACTTTTACAACAATAAAGCCTTTAAATCCTAAACAAGTTGGGATAGGCTAGAGTTGAAACCCAGCAGAAGCCAGACATGTGAATAGCTATTTTTCAAACACTTCTATCTAAGGCTAAGTCTTTAGGTATATTCTATCCTTTCAAGTCTCCTTTTACTGCCTCTACCAAAGTCAATTTTGATCTTCCTCTGTCTCTCTTCACGTTACTATCCTAGGTTAGGATTCCACTACGCACCGGTGCCTCTGGAGGTTTCCATTGGATATGTCCAAACCATCTCAACCGGTGTTGGACAAGCTTTTCTTCAATTGGATTATCAAACTTTTGAAAAAAAAAACTCAGAATGCACTAGTATTCAGATGTTAATATAATATAGCAATATAGTATGTCCAGAAATCTGACAAAGTGACACGATGAATTCTCCAATCCAGCTTCATCAGAAAGAGCTCAGGAAAAAGCAAACTCAGAATGCACTAGGATTCAGTTGTTAATATAGCAATATAGTATGCCCAGAAATCTGACAAAGTGACACGATGAATTCTCCAATCCAGCTTCATAAAGAGCTAAGGGAAAAGCCTTACATTAGAGTACTACTCCAGCTTTCACAAAAAGAAAGAGCCCAGGGAGAGCATAGTTACAAAAGTTGGCAACAAAAGAACAAAATAAATTGAAAGTATAAAGTTCTAATTTATGCTAGATTTTAACCTATGATGCTCTGCTCACTGTTTTTTTCAGGCTTACTTAAAAAATAAAACTAGCCAGATTCTGAGTAATTCTGTAACAGCTTCCTGATGTTTTGGAATATCGGTACGAGGGCAACAAGTGCGATCTCAAGATGCTCCGAGCTCGAGCTGTTCAGGCGAATCCCGACTTGGCCGGTCCCCTTGTTGCTTAGATTCGCATGGCCAACCAAGTTGCTAGCTCTTCCAGCAGGGATCTGAGACTGGATGTTGCAGCCAATTGCCAGATCCCCGTGCCAATCCACAACAGATAACGCGATAGTGGAAAGCATCCGCCCAATCGGGTAATCTTTGTCCCTCATTGTTGCTTCGAGGCGGCCTCCATAGGCCACATCTCCCCTCCCACTCATGGCCCCACCGCTAACCAGGACCCTGAGCTGCTTGTTCACTATCAGTTTGTCCTCAATCTTCACACCAGCTGATACTGAATCCCCAAGAAGCGTGGCAGATATCCCAGCAGCTGTATTGTTGCGCCTGAAGTTCTTAATTCTCGATTCGCCACGAATTGTGTATGCCATATCCTTGCCGACAGACTGCAAATCAAGCCCAAGTGAAGTAGTCTTACCCTCAGCATGCTTAATTGAACTTGCAACCTCCATTTGCAGGGAGAAATCCTTCTTGTCTTTTGTAAGCTGGCCAGACACGGATAGAGGAACTTTACCTTTTACAGCAAACAACCTTTCAACATTAAGTCCCTCATAACCAACATCATGGTCCCAGCCCTGGGTTTCCAATACAGGCCTGACAAGCCATTCACTTGGTGTATCCAGAAAACGATAGCGATGGCTAGGATAGTCAGAATCAAAAGATGAGGGCAGTACCATGTCAGGCATAGGCACCGAAACATTAGTTGGAGTATTAGAATCATCTTCTAGGTAGCCGTTGCTGAAATCATTTGCTCGAGCACTGGCTTCTGCTGCCATTTTCTTCATCAATCTACGACGTTTGCTTTCATCTTTCAGTTGTTTTCGGTAGAACAATTTCTCTCTGTAATCTAGCTCCTCAAGATAGGCCTTCCTCTGCTCTTTGTTCAACTTGGCAAGCTGAGCTTTTGTGAGACGCTTAAATGGAGGTAAATCATCATAATCTGAACCATCATCCGAATCAGAATCGTCTGCCAAATCATCTTCAAGATCATCATCATCACCACCAAACTGTTCCTCTGGTAACTTCAGTGGGGCACGAGACTGAAGAAGGGAAGAGAGCAGGAAAGGCAGTGGAGGGATCCTTGTACGAGAAAGTTTACCAATGGGACTATCCTGCAACTTGAGGAGCACATTGGCTTCTGCTAACACCTTTGAAGCAAAACAAAGCAGCAATAGCTGTGGCTTCCAGACTTGTCCATTCGGCAATACCCTCTGGCCAGCCCTATTTGTCCTGCACGCTGAGTGGTTTTCCACCAGGGATACTGGATTCATAAGACGCACATCCCCAGCAGCTTGCCTTATAGCTTGTTGCACTACATGAGATCTCTGGGTGACAAACATCTCATAGCTCAGAGGAATTCCATTCTGCCCATCTGGTGGTGCAGATGCAGCATGGGTTAACACAACAATGGCATTGAACCAAACTGATGCTCCGAACACTTTCGTGATGGTTTGCAGCAGAGGGACATCACCATTGTCTCTGCTCTGCATATCCAACCTATCAAAATAAAGAACAATATCCGGAGGGTTTTTGCTAATAAGTCTCTTGACAGAGTTGAGAACCTTCTGGTTGTGGTGTTGTTCTAAAGATGAGCAGGAAAGTCCAGGTGTATCAATCACTTTTACTTTGATTCCCTCAACTGTACCAACTACTTCTTGAACCTTCTTAGTACTAGAATCAAAAGCGTTTGTATCCAACCTGGTATCATCAAAAATTGAATTAATGGTAGCACTCTTACCGACCCCAGTTTTACCAAGAACCAAGATGGTGCATGAAAAATCAAGGGGCTCGTTTCCAGCAGCTTCAAGACGTTCTGCCATCTCTCTTGCACGGTCGATGCTAAATGTCCCATTAGCAGTAGTTCTTCTAAGTTGTTCCGCCAGCCCAAGCCGGTACAGAACCTGTGAAACGACCATATTATGAGACGTTTGCCCAAACCTGTCAGCGAGGCGAAGAAACTTAACCCGGATCATTTGAAGCTTTTCATGGATTTCATCATTCTCATCTCTATCATCCTCAGCAGACTCAGTAGCCTCCTGGGTTCCCCTATCCACAGCGGATGGCCTGTTGGCACGGACCTGTTGAACAGAACGGGCAGGAGGCTGCGACAGGGTAGACGATGATCCAAGGCCAGCAGGACGAGATAGCAGAGAGGGACCATTAGTGGAACGAGCAGAAGCAGCACTGCTGGATTGTGCAGGTGTAGAACCACCAGCTGAGGATTGTGCAGGGGGAGCAGAGGTGGCGGTATTCTCATCATCTGAGGAGCTTGAGTCATCCAATTCCTCAATGAGGACAGCAGACTCAGCTGCAGAATGTGTGACTGACTCTGGCCTGCTATGAGAGGAAGCAAACTCTTGTGTGCTCTTCCCTGGCTGATTTTTGCTTTGATACACCAAAGTACCATCTTTTACATCTTCATACTCGCTCCCAGATTGTGCAGCGACCTGCTCTTGATTCAGGTCATCGGCAAAGCTTTCCTCCACATCAACGACACGGGGTGTATCGTCCTCGTCCCACTTATCTGCCGCAAGCTGTCCGGTTTCCAGCACCACTCTGGTGTTCGGCGTCACCACTGGCTGGTGATCGCCAGCCACCCCCGCAGACTCCACCGCACCTTCTCCAGGGCCCCGGTTTTCTTCCCCAACCTCATCCCCGCCACCATCCTGCCCCGGCGGCACGTCGTCCCCCTCATCCCCGCCCTCCACCACCACATCACAATCGCCCTCATCCGCCGCAGTGGCTGCCTTCACGGCGGATTCCTCCTCCTCGGCGACTCCGCCGTTCTCGCCCGCCCGATCCTCCGGGCGCCCCTCACCGACGAGGCCGCCGTTCTCCATGGATCACGCCAGACGACGGCGGAAGGAGCGAAACCCTAGTCCGACATCAAGAGAAAACGGAACGGATCAAACGACAGCAACAGCAGGTGAAAAAAACAAACGTACAGACGTTCAATTGCAAGCGGACGGAGACTGGAACAATCTATGTAAATAAAAATACATGCAGAAAGATTGTGGTGGACGGATCCGGAGAGAGGTGGCGGCTACCAAACCAACCTGGTGGGAGGCGACGGCGGCGTGGGAAAATGGGATCGCTTGCGTGGTCGCGACTCCCAGGAAAAGAAAGGAGGGAGAGAGTCAGGCCGCGGCGAGGGAACGAGATCCTCTAACTTCGACCTCAGCGACTGCAGAGTACAGTCGGAGACGGATCACCGTCCGCTGAGGATCCAACGGAGGCTGCCCCACCAAAGTCTATAGCAGGCCAATTCGAGTGGCCCATCGCAGCCCACCACGCCAATAACAGCGACGTTCGTCTCTTTCCCTCCGGCCGCCGTCTTCGATAAATCGCAGATGTGCTCTCTCCTCGCCGTCACGGCGTCCGCTCAGCGAAGCGAGCTCGCCGCTGAGCGGGCGCCAAGGCAGAAGCCGCTTCTTCTTCCACCGCCTCGAGTTTCAGACGTCCAGACGACGGGCGGCGGAAGGGAAAAGGGGAGGAGCATCAGGACCGCAATGTTCGCCTCGGCATACTGGTCCATTGATGCGACCCGTCGTTAAGCACGCTGGCTGCTCGCTCGCCGTCGTGAAGCTAACTTTAGCCGGGTCCAAAAGGTGGTCATCTTGAAATTTGGAAGCATGAGGTGGTTGGACCTTGGATTGAAGAATTCAAGTCTTTGTAATTTGTGCTTACAATGTGTTACTCAGAATTGTGCATTTGCTAGCAAATCAAGCAGGAAATTAGATAGGAAAGGACAAGTGGTAGCCAAATCAGAGCCAATTGTACGTATTTGAATTGTGATGAAAATTGTTCTGGAATGTAATGGTATTACTAGAATAAAGAGAAGGCATTGCATTTTTTGAAACTTCAGATGCTGCAGAGCCAATATCAAGTCCATATGACATGTGAACTCTTTTACTAGAAATTAGTCAACCAGAAAGATCATCAGGTTGCAAAAATCAGTAATATATTCTGAGTTATGAACATATGTCAATATTTCTAAGAAAGTAGACTGAACATGCAAATTATAGTGCTGAAAGCTGAACATATATCACCTGTGAAGCACACATACATGCTGATGCATTCTAAACAAGGAGCACAACTTATTCCACAATTGCTAGAACCCTTGCTTCCTGTCCAATTTCCTGCACAAATTCCTAACATATGAATGTAGTGCTTACAAAACACAACGCTTACAAGCTCAGGAAGCAAGGGTGTGGATGTAGTGCTTACAGCTTATTCCACAATTGCTAGAACACAATGCTTACAAGCTGTGGATGTAGTGCTTACAAAACACAACGCTTACAAACACAAAGTGCTAACACTCTGAAGATGGGTGCCGCTGAACAACTAGCTCAGGAAACCCGGTGGCTCTCAGGTCGTTCTCCACATCTGGAGCTTGTGTGCCAAGGGGGCTCCACCTTGCCTGCGGTGGAGGGGAGAATAGGCATCTCACCAGCGAGTGCGGCCCGAGAACAGCACTTCCTGCGGATCGACGAGCAGCATCTGCGCGTGTGACGACCTAGGCGAGGAACACACCGGATGCTCTGGCTACGAGCGGTAGCGTCCGGGAGGACCACGCCTTTGTGCCGCGGGACGAGGGGAGGGTGGCGGACGGTGGGGCTGGTGCCTGGCGCCGTGCGGCGCGAGAGAGAGGCGGAGCGATCTGCGGCGACGAGTGGAAAGAGCTGTTATTGGCATGTGGGCCACTCGAATTGGCCTGCTATATGACTTTGGTGAGGCTGCCGCCGTTGGATCCTCAGCGGACGGTTATCCGTCTCCGACTGTACTCTGCAGTCGCCGAGGCCGAAGTTAGAGGATCTCGTTCCGCGGCGAGAGAGGGGAGTCGCAGCCCGGATTGGATGCCTCCGCCGTTTTTACTGGGCTCCGCTCTGCTAAAACCCTGGAGATTTGCTTTTCTGCGGGGCCAGTTTACAGTGGCCTAATTACGGGCCCAGCTTTTTCTAAGGAAATTGGGGCCCATTAACTCATAGAGCGACAGCGACCGAACAAAATTTGGAATCGCAAAAACAATTTATATGGAGCCTAACCTAACCAGAATAAATACATGCAATATGTTGTGCAAACGCAAAGTAAAGTTGTTGTCTATAATTATATTGTGTTGCATGTAGCCAACTTCATATTCTAATATAGGTGGTATATTCTCTATACCCTATCAGTTTTGTGCAAGCCCACATAAAAACATCTTCAGGCAACCAAACACAAATAAATAGCACTATGCAAGTCTAGATGAGGGATAGTGCATGCAACTATACACAGGTCGATCTCAGTGGAAAGATTCATGCTCTTTTTTAAGATGTTGCGGTCTTAGAAGCTAGATCATGATCTCAGTCCATAGTTTCGTTTTGTTTCAGTATTCCATAAGTTACATGATGCAAGTCTAGATGAGGGCTAGTGCATGCAACTATACACATGTCGATCTTAGTGGAAAGATTCATGCTCTTTTTTAAGATGTTGCGGTCTTAGAAACTAGATCATGATCTCAATCCATAGTTTTGTTTTGTTTCAGTATTCCATAAGTTACATGTAGCATTTAATTCTAACACGATGTTATAATCAAATGCACAATATAGCCTCTTACAATACTATTTTAAAAACATTTTAATCTACTTTGATATTCATATGATATAAAAATATAGAGAGAGTTGCATATGTAAAATAAATTACATGTAACGTATGATAAACATTAGACACGCGGTACACAGCAAGGATGCACTAGTAGAGAAACGATTTTTAATCCACTTCAAAATTTGGCTTTAGTCCCGATATTTTTCGCGCCCGGGACTAGAGAAACCTTTAGTCCCGGCTGGTAGCTCCACCCGAGACTAAAGGTCCTTGCCCAACGGTTACCGAGGTGTGTTAGAGGCACGTCAGTGCGAGAATCTTTAGTCCCGGTTTGAGACATGAACCCAGACTAAAAGTGTGACTTTTAGTCCCGGTTTGAGACACGAACCTGAACTAAAGGTACCTTTAGTCGGTTTATGTCTCAAACCGGAGTAAAGGTGTCTCCAAACTGAATTTAAAAGGAAAGCGTATCTTATCTCAGTTAGATGTGTGGTGGTAGGTGAGATGGTAACGCGTGTGCAAGAGCTGAAGTGGGAGGTCGTAGGTTTGAATCTCCACAGCTACAACTTTTTTTTACCCAATAAACACCTCTACTCCCGATTGGAGGAACCGGGACTAAAAATCAAGACCTTTAGTCCTAATTACGTAGTCCCGGTTCCAAAACCGGGATTAAAGGGGTTAAGAACCGGGACTATAACCCGTTTCTCTGCTAGTGATGTGAGTCACATGGAGATAAAATTGAGAGCTCTCAATGTAGGTTTCATAAAATTTCATTTATCCGAAAACAGTGCCAATTAGGTCTTGTGAAATGAAACTCACCTCCTCTTTTCATATCACTTCATCATTTTTATTGACGTGGCACTTGAAACTCGACTGACCTAAAAAAATAAAAAAGGAAGAGAGAAAAAGTAGCAGCCGGCAAAAACAAAAGGAGGACAAGGAAAAAATGGAGAACCAAACGAAGAAAGACAAAGTTTATCAGAGATAAATGGGCACGTACAACGGGCGTCTTTTTCTCGTCTCGGTGATGGTCCTTTTTCAAAAACCCCCAGCTCGGTAGAGAGAGAGGCGCGCGATCGTCGCCTCATGAGGCGCGGCGGCCTATCCGTGCTCCGATGCGGAGCAGAGGCGACCGCAGCTTCGTTATGCACGGCCTCGTCTCCCCTGACGACGGCGCGCTCGAGATCCCGTGTGGGGCGGCAGCGCTTTCGCAGCAGCAGTTGATTTGGGCGCGCGCGGGATTTTCCGCGCCAAATCCATCTCCACCTTCATGTATCCCCGCATCCTCACTTTTCCCCCAATCCATCTTCATCTCGCATTGTCCTCAGTCTCCGATTTGGTGCGCCGAGATGTCCATGCCGCCCGCAGCTAGGAAGAAGAAGGGCTCGTCACCGTCGGCGTTGGGCTGGCGGCGGCGGGCGCGCCCTAGCCCATACCCTCGGTCGCGGCGCGGTGGAGCCCGCCAATGGCGGTAGCCGCTGACGACCACCGCGGCGGCTCTCTCCGCCGCCACGGCTCGCCCAGCAGCGATGGCGAGGGGAGCAATAATGGTGCGGCTGGCCCAATGGCAGGGGCGGGGCGGCGGCGGCGACGATGGAGCACGTCTTCTTTGGCGCCGCTGCGGGAGACGGAGGCGGAGCGGGAGGCGCGGATCCGCGGCGTCTTCGGTTTCTTCGATGCCGCGGGGCAAGGCCACCTCGACCACGCCGCAGATCGTGGCGGCCGGCCTCGTCGCTGCTGCGCCCCCCGAGGGGATGACCGCGGCGCGGCGCCGAGGACTACTGCAGCAGCGCTTGCTCCGAACTGCGACCGCGACGCATGACGATCGCGTCGGCTATGATGACTTCCGGAGGTACATGGACGACAAGGAGCTCGAGCTCTACCGCATCATCCAGGCCATCGACGTCGAGCACAACGGATGTATCCTGCCCGAGGAGCTCTGGCACGCGCTCGTCAAGGCTGGTAACTGCAATGCCACCGCTCCTCGCCTTATTCCTTCCTCTCTCTCTGTTTTTGCAAGTACCGTATTCCTTCCTTTTAGTGATTCCTCTATTCCACTCCACCATAGCTGCAATACTCGAATGAGGTTGAGTGAGAGAGTGAGACTGTGGATAAAATAGTGTTTTCCTGAGCTACAAATTTAAGTGTTCCTTGAGATGTCATGAGAAATGTATTCCCTAGCTTAATACTGCCATAAGCTTAGTTCAGTGCTGCACTGTTCTTTGTTGCTTGTAGTGGTGGAAGCTAGGATGTCCACTCTTGAAAAGTTGAATAATAGTCCAATACATGTTTGTGCTGCAGTATCCCTGACTAATCTAGGTACCAAAGTTCAAATTTGGCAATTGGTGTAAAAAAATGCAATGCTCGATATATTGATGGAGAAATCAAGTAAGGCAGTGCTTTGCTTTTGGTCAATAAAGTCACTCAAGTTTTGTGATGGTTCTAGACTTCTAGTGATGCCATGGGGACATGGGCTCTTTAAAATAGTTAACTAAGATAAAGGCCCTTCCATAATTTGGGTATCCTTTTTTCCAAATTTGGTGATCAGGATGCAACACAAAGTATTGATGGAGACATACTGCACGGGATAGTTTCTTTTTGTGGTGATCAAACTTGAAGTGGAGTTCTGTGGTTTGATTTTGAACCTGATAATCATCAGTTACTGTCAATACAACAACATAGTTTTGCTTGTTGGATCATAAACTCCATTTTAGCGTTGCAATGAGCTTCACCATTTCATAATTTTAATCAGTTTCGATATCTTAATTTATGTTTAATCATGTATATCAGAATATCAGATGAAAGTGGCTAAATTGATCATGTGTATGTTGTGTGTGTGACTATGTTTGTTGGCATATGTGGGCGGAACTAAGTCACCATTCTGAAAATAGCAAGTAGTTCCTTGTATGTGAAGTCTGTTTTAGTTTTGAATAAAACAGTGGGTTGTATTTGTCAACACCGGTAAAAAAATTATTCAGCTTATATTCCTTGATTTACAGTAATTTCAGTCACTATTTATGTTTGCTCATACTCATCGTCACCATTACGAAAAATGTGCGAGCCACCATTGCTATCTCTAACTGGCCATTTCGGACTTGACCTTTGCTATCTCGAATCGCTATCTGAACTGCTATTTTCTAAATTCTGATTGTGAACCGCTGTCTGAAACTACTATCTGAATGCTATCTGAACAGAGCTAGTGCTCTTGACTTCATCTCGCAATTTTGATTTAAGAATTATCTCTCAATTTTGCAGGACATGATGTGATCTACGTGATGCTATGATCTACAATTTTTCCGTGCAGAGGATGAGTTGTGACCTACCTGATGGTGTGATCTATCTGTTATCTACTAGTTATTATCTGAATGTCATCTACCAGTGACTGCTATCTGAATGCTTCCCAGTTAAATTTCTGCTATCTTTTTTGTGTGACCATGTTACTGCTATATGAATTTCCCAGTTAAATATCTCCCATGCGTAACTGAAGCATTAGTGAGTGTAATCATGTTGCTCTTATTTATCCTTGATACATTTTCTATCAAATAACCACACAATGGTATACAAAATTTATTTATAGTTGATTCTAGCTACATGCAAAGCATTAAACAGCTTAGAGACGGACCATTTGTCTGTCGGTTATATGACTTGTCTTTATACCCATCTGTATGATAGATTCGAGGTGTTTAGAGACGGACCCCTGTCTGTGGGTTGTACATGCCCTAAGGTGGCTAGGCGAGCATTGGAGTGTGCACTGTCAGTGCCATCAAGAGAACTGCTACTCTCTCTGTACTCAAATGAATTTTCATCTCACTTTAAAAACATTTTTTAGTTAATTACTCATATAAAAAATAATATCAATATTTGTATCTTTAAATCTATGTTTAATTTAATGCTTAATCTATTATTCATAATGAATACTAGTATAATAGTATATATATATTTGGTCAAATTCTAAAGGATAAGTGAGATGTGCGCCTATTTTAAGCGAGAGGAAGTATGTGGTATAGGGACCTATGGCAATAAGAGTTTGCACATCCACGTGTTCCACATGCGTCTTTAGAGTAAGGCAAATAATACAATATACTATTGGTTATATGTATACTTACCTGACAATTCATTTATATAGTAGTTAGCTTATCTGTGACTCACTCGTTTCTCACACAAAATTATTTTTTAAATTTTTTTTTGATGATGACCTATGAATATGACATGTAGAGCCCATGTATAATTAATTTTTTTTCTTTAATGGGATGTAGCTATGGGTGTCATTGTTTTTGTAGATAAAATCACAACAAATATGATGGCGAAAATAGATTTAGAATCATTAAAAATAGTAGCACTTGAAGTTTATAATCGAAAAAATCATGTAACCAATTTATTGTTGACGTCTCACCCGAGAGCTTGGCATGCGGATTGCGGGCGGCAAAGCTTAAGCTGGTGATCCGCTGTCGCCCGCAGAACGTTTGAGTATCACCACCATATTGCAAAAAAAAAAAAAAAAAATCTCTACAACCAGTAATATAGGGGATTAAATAAAAACATGATCAGCGGATCATGTTTTCAACCTCCTTTCTCTAAAATCTTTTGTCAATCATTCAGAATCCCACCTTAATCCCACGAACGAAGGAAATCTTCCACTATTTTTTCTCAATCCCCTTTCTTCCTCCTCTCACTGGCACCACGAGCCTAGAGGATGGTGGAGTGGTTGCCGTCATTGCTGTGAGCACGTGGGCCGCCGAAAGACCGCATTGTCAAGGCGGCCGAGAGCGCAGGCCGTCACACCAGGCGGGAGGGGCGCGTGGGACGCCAAGCCATCACTACGCCGTCGAGCGAGCGTTCGGACCGACTGCGCTACCGAGCTGCCACCACGTGGGGCGGGTGAGTGTTCTAGCCAGCTGCACCGCTGAGCTGCCACCGTGCACGTCGGGGGTGCCAGACGAGCACCGAGAGAGGGAGGAAGACAGAAGAGGAAGAAGAGGTAAGAGAGGTGCCACTAACATGTGGGGCCCGCGTAAATTAAAGGGATGAATTTTCTCGATCTGCTTTGATACCCCAGAATTCAGTTTTCTCAATCCACTGTAGGAGAATTTAAGAAAATGCGGAAATGGATGGGAGGAGATGACAAAATTTTAAGAAAGGTCGATCTAGAAGGTGCCATTTTTCATGTTGGACCCATTTTAAATTAAACGGATGAATTTTCTCAATCTGCTTTGATACCCCAGAATTCAGTTTTCTCAATCCACTGTAGGAGAATTTAAGAAAATGAGGAAATGGATCTGGTGGAGATGCTCCAATGACGGTTTACTTTAATTGAGGCATGCCAAAATTTTATAGCCAAACTTCGATCTAGAAGTAGCCGATTTTTCATGGCCGTTCAAAATTTTTCTTGGCAACTTGAGGGCTTGTTTGATTCGCTGCTAAGTATTGCTACAATGTCACAAATTTTTAAAGAGTCATGTGGCTGAGTGATGAAACTATGATGTGCTGCACTTAGTATTTTGTCCCAAATACCATAGACTCATTACTTACCAAAATTTACCAGAAGTGTGTATGATTTTGCCATTTTGGTGGCCATTTTTTTTTGTGACAACTATAATTTACCTAGGTTGAGATGCGATAATAATATTTGGGAGCAAACCAAGCAAGGCAGGATCTTGGCTATTGCCTCTTTGGGGCATCCTATCCGGATGGATTTGGGTCATTGGGATGTCTTCCAGTGTTCATCAAAAAGCTCGCACAAGGCACCAGTATTTATAGCGTGACGCTGTTCTTCTTATTCCATCACTAATATATCTCACCTTGTAGTCTTGTACGCACAAACTGTACAGGAGCCTGCAAACGGGCGCGGCGTGATCTGTGCCTGGCAAGCGCAGCTCACCGCTCACTGCCCACAGGAGAGGAAAAAATTGAAGTGCAGCAACGGTGTCATGCGAATCGCCGAATCGGTAGTGCCGCCGCTTCATCGCCGTGTAATCTTGGAACACGGCACCAAGCGCGAGATTCGGTGCCAGCTCCCGGTGCGCGAGCGGCTGCCCGGTCACGGGGGACGCATCGTTCCCTCCGTCCAGCCAGCCTCTGATGGCGTCGCCCTCGTACGTGAACCCGTCTGCCGCGACGTGGGGATCCCTCATGGGCTCCTGCAAAAATCGACTCGCGGAAAACATGTTCACAAACTAACTGTCTTGCAGAGCGCCACGCACTGTGCTCAGAGGAGGATGCAGGCACCCACCTGAAGGATCGGGCAGAGGAAGTAGGACGGGACGCGATCTTCGTCGTAGGGCGACTCAATGACGGACGACGGCGAGAACGCGGCCAGTTTGCTCTGGTTGAGCAGCGCTTGAATTTCCAGTTCCAGGTCCCTTTCACCGGTGCCCAGATCGATTTGTATCTGGACATGCTCCTTCTGTGCCTCAGTTACTTGACCGGCCGTTCCGAAAACGGCATCCACGTCGACGACGTGGCCTTCCAGGGACGATCTCTCTGACATTGCCTCCTGGAGTTCGTCTGTTGCCGTGTTTTGCTCGTCCACGGGCACCTGGTTTGTTTTCCTTAACCGAGCGATCTCTCGGTGTGCTCTAGCAAGAGCTCCTTCAAGCTCTTCACGCTTTCTCGTCTCCTCTAAGTACAACTCCTGGTATTCCTTTGCCTGCAAGGTTCAGAGTTCTCATCAAAATCTAAAAAATGTATGCAACTAGTAGAATGTTTCAGTGGTCTAATAAGCCATTTATTATATACGTCATGTGTCTGATTTTTTGTTGTTATTCAGGCAACAGGTAATTTTGTTATTGAATTGTACTGATTGACTGTACGAGATCGTTGCCTGAAAATTCAGGCGCTGCCTGAAATATAGCAACTCCATTAATAAGTTTGTAAGATTTTTTTACTTCTCAAGGGGCAAGGAATTGTACTTTCTGAAGAGCAGAGGCCACTTCTCCATCTGCCTTTTGGCGCCTGGAAGATTCGTTTAGGGCTCTCTTCATCAAGTTCTCAGCTGCTATGCATGCCTCTTTGAGCTCATCGTACAACCCCAACTCCGACTTGACGTCGTCCTACACACCAGTATAATGGAAAAAACAGAAATTTAAGCTTGCCAGAATCATTAGAATCAGGAGATCTCATTAAATACTCTGTCACACCTCTTTCTGGTAGGGTACTAACTGCAGAGCTTGGTGATCAAAATCAGGGAGAAAAGGTGTGGCTGATGGTGCAATCTCCTCTTCCTCACCCCTATCATAGAAAAGTCGATCAGAAATTTGTGACCCCCATTGTCATTAGCTACCAGAAATCCAAAAGTTACAACTCAGGCTGTACCTGGTACAGATTAGTTGTCCCTTGCAAACACACCAAATCTTGCATGATGGATCAGCTCTCTGCATAATTTCTGTTGCTGTCTTACATTTAGGTTTGTCCATTTTTCTGAAACCAAAGTTGACGAATGTACTTTTGATACATGATGGATTTATAATTTTCCAAGTTTACCAGATACAGAATTCAAATTTGAAAAAAAGAGGATTTACTTATGTCAGATTCACCTTGAATATTGCCTGTCTGCAGCACCTGAAATAATTAGCTTAGTGACTTTATGCAAGACAATGAGTTCAACCAGACCAGCTACAACGTCTTCCTTCTCAAAAATTAGTTTCTCACATTTGACCTGAATTTGCAAAACATGGGGACCTATCAGTCATCCTGTTCAGTTTGAAACTTGATGCTAACTTTTAAATTGTTAACTGCATGCCAAAACCATATAAAGAAGGTAAATGTAAAATATACGAGTGTATGACACACCAACACAGTGGTCATGAAACATGAGGAAGGACCAAAATAGCACCTTCATTTTTAAGCATTGATGAACATATCCGTCTAGCTGTTTATCCACTTTCTCATGCTCGATCCTTCTGAACAGTTTCACTTGCTTCGGACTCAGTTTACTAGAGTGGAATTTAACTCCCACTGCATAGAAAGATAGAATTAATAAAATTATCTAACCACAGCAGGCACAAGCAGAACTAATATCTCCTATCCACAGCAGGCACGGGTAGAATTTGCATGTCCTGGAAAAGAAATCACAGAGTAGTTTTCTTCTCCTCAAGGCAAGGTAATATTATTGTTCGCAGCCCACAGGAAAAGAGTGGATTATGGTTAGGCTAACATTCATTTTACAGTCACATGAAGTAACAATCCAATATTTCACCACAGTTAGTACATATCCTATTTAATCTGATATATACACATATAAAGTATTAGTCCGATTGGACAATCGCCTTATTGAAAGTTTGAAACACGAGAAACAAGCAAACTACAGGAAACGTTAGCCAGGAGAATTCTCGTGGCCAGAATCATGTGGCCGGTCACAATACATCATGATCAATTCATGTGGCCGGTGGCCTCGAATTCCCGTGGCCAGAATCATCGAACTACCATTTGCAAGAGCAACAGAACGAGAGGTAAAAGCATATTATAAGATAAAGAAACACGTACTCACTGGAATCATCTCTGGCGGGACATGCACATGTGTGATCACAACCGTGGTTCTGCCGCCGCCGAAATGATCGAGAACCCACGACAGCGTGGACTGTCCCGCCTTGAACTCCGCCGGCAGCACGACGAACACCTTCTCCATCGCTGCCGCCAACTCCTTCGCAGAGTTCGCCGTGAAGCCTAGGTTTAAAAGAGCTCCTTGTCTGGTGGCAAGTGGCATAAGAAACACGCAGACGTTGGACTTAGTATAACATACAAGAGACTTTGGACGCGGGACAGGGACACCGTGCGAGGAGGAAGCCAATGGCACGCGACAGAGACATACAGAGACAAGGAGGAAGTTCTCAGGCTACCTGCAGTTCTTAACTCAGTGTGAGCACTTGTCACATCAGACAAAATTTCTGCTTGTTTCATAATGCCTTGTAAAGTTGACTAACTCATCAGTCATCTGTGCAATATTTTGCTGGTTCAAGTTTCAACTGATTGGGAGCAAAGAACACGGCATGAAGCTAGGATATAATAACATCATCGAGAAAACTGAAATCAGATACTGGTATAAGATGAACATGTTGGAATATCTAGTATTAAAATATTGAATTACAGACATATTAAATTATTAATGTAGAATATCAGAATATCCATCTTGTATAGTGTTTAACATCCGGGGCAGATTTGGCTACATATGTCTGATAACAAAAGCAGAGGCCCAGCCACATTGATAAGTACAAAACATGCAGCAAATGAGCAATATAATACCACTCAATTTTCAATAAAGGATATTTAACCAATTCAAAGGTGGTGGTGCTGTACTGGGATAGCAATAGTGCAGATACTGTGGTTTTGTTTTTTTAGATGTAGTACACATCAATCTAGATGGCAGAATAACAGAAGGCATAACTTTAAAAAGATCTTACAATCACTGCCATGGGACAAAACATTTTGAAATTGTGACACCAGAAGCCCCCCTTACATTGTGTTTTGACTTTTCACATCAGGAACCTTCATCAATCTAATTTCACAGCTACACCTCATTTACTTGCATGAACTAGTACAACATTTACTGGACCATCTGGTTATCTACTAACTAGTATGGCAGTGTAACTGAATAGCTAATAAACTAGCAGTTTGTTAGCTGTTAACACTTTGGTTAGAAAACTCAGCACTTAAGGAGTAATTTTCTTGCAGGACTTGGATATCCTATCTTCGAAAAGCATACGTTCTTCAAATTGGGAGTCTGATGTTGCTCCTTGAGTTGATAAACTCGACTATCTTGACTAAATCAAAATCAGTGGCTTTCTGGTAACCTGTAACAACAAATAGAACAAGACAATAAATTGGCGATTTTCATGTGAGATAAGAGTTTCAAGCAACATTTTCACAAAAAAAAAAAGAGTTTCAAGCAACAAAATCAGTATAGCTGAAGCTCTCATAGAATCTACATGTGAAATCATGAGTTGCGAGGACAATGTCAGGAATTCAAGTTCTAAAGATTAACAGGTTTATGATTTCTTTGGATTTTTTTCCACAGTAGGGTCGGGGCATTTTTTTTGTACTGCTTGGAAAAATGTTTTTGAAAGGGCTCAGCAATCTGGCGATAAGCCCAAACTCACGAAAGATGATCTAGTAACCACTGATTTAGAGGAAACATACCGCCAAGGGAACTCTGAGGTGTCTATTCCAGCTCGATGCAATTGATCGACGTATTGTAATGCTTCTCGGCACTCTTCTCTGTCGTCAAAAAACTCACTTTTATCGCCTTCAATCTGATAAGTATCGTTCCCTTTGCCAGTGATAACCTGAAGGTAGAAGCATAGATGTCAGGATCATGATGAACCCAAGAAGTGAGACAGGTGAACACTACTGCATTATAACTGTGTGGTTTAAAGAATCAAGACCACTTTCTCATCACAACACTAATGTAGCACAATTACCACTTTCTAGATAGTGATACCACAACAGTAACATTGTTTGCATGCTTGTAGTGAGACATGGATTATATTTTGAAGTCCTAAATGCTGAATATGATAGGGTTAATGTCGTCTTCTGAAGGCTTTTCTGTTAAAAAGATCAATGTACGGAGGCAGTGATCTACGAGTTTCAAATTTTTCTTCACAATTCAGTTATATGGTCACAAGCTCAGAACTACAGAAAAAGGCTTCCTGATAACATAGACCTTGGAGAAAACTTACCACCACATCGCCTTGTTCGCCCATTGCAACAGCAGCTCGCACTGCAACTCTTCTAATATCATGTAGGAATAGCCTATGCCCATTTGGAAGGGGTGGGTAATAATCATTAGCACCATATTTCAAGTATTCTTCCATGGTCCACCCTACTCCTGCCAACATATCATCTAGGATATCTACTGCAGAATAGAACAACAAATTTGTGTAAAAGTTCAGGGCAATTATGCATTAATCTCAGATCTGGTCTACATATTAGATATTAATTAAGAATCATACATGGATCTTCGTTTGCTGGATTGTCTGATGTCAACATGACAACATCACTTTTATCAGCCGCGATCTTTGTCATCACCGGCCTCTTCCCTCTTTCTTTCTCTCCGCAACATCCAACAACTAAATTAAACAGCATAGCAGGAGGTTCAGTTCCCATGCTATAACCAGAATAGAGAAAATAGCAGCATGTACAAATAATCAACATTTCATACAGCTCTGTGTAGGCAGTGTGTGTTGTTAACAAAAGCTACAAGTAAAATTATCTTACCAGTGACAATCCGGCGTGGTCCCAGCTCCCTTACACCATCCAGAAGCCTCGACAGAGCTTCTGGTGTCCTCGCATGATCAACGATTACCCCAAAGGCTTGCTCCTCATCGATTAGCTCACACCGGCCTGGGATCGCATCCACCTCTTCTATGCCCCTGACTATGTCCTCCAGTGGTGCACCCACTGCAATGCCAACTGCCACAGTTGCAAGGATGTTGTAGATGTTATCTCTTCCAAGCAGCCCAGAGGAGATCTCGAGGATCCCATGTGGCGTCTGAACTAAAACCTCCGTCTCAAACAGGGAAAGCTGGTATTTGAGAGTGTGCACATCAGCTTTCTTGTTCTCAAACGAATATGTCACCACAGGGACATCATGCCCTCCTTGTGCTGCGAAGAATGGGGCGCATGGATCATCAATATTCACCACCTTACGATGGCGCTCAGGGTCCACCATTCTGGAGAACAGAAAGGCCATGCTGCTCATATACTGCTCATAGGTCATGCCATCCTCCCCATCAGTGTGCCTAACATTAGTCAAAACAGCAATATCATAATCTATCTCACTGCCCACACCAGATGGAGGCATCCCATCAGTGGCTGTCTCCAACACAACTGCCTCAGTGCCATTGTGTAACATTGTCGCCAACAGCTTCTGCGCAGCAATGGGGTCACCAGATGCATCAGGCCGTGCATCAAGCTTGTTGCTGCCGAAGGCATAGGCCCCAAGAACGCCCACCAGGCCAGTCCTCACCCCAATGGCCTCATACACTGCTTTGACGAGGTGAGTTGTGGTAGTTACGCCGTCTGTGCCAGTGACACCTATGACAGCCATGTCCGTCGACGGCCGCCTGTAGAGGCAGGCAGGGAGCACGCGGAGGGCGGCCAAAATGTCGTCCACAATGACCAGCGCGCGGCAGGCCAGGGTGCCCTCGATGTTGAGGTCCTGATCGGCTACGACGGCAACGGCCCCACGCTTGTCGGCCTCGGTGAGCCCCGCGAGCCCGTCCTCTCCCACGCACACAAAGAGGTCGCCCGCCGCCACCAGGCTGGCGTCGCGCTGCACCCCTACGAGCGCGACATCCTGGTCACCCGTCACGGCCACCGGGACGAGCTTGCTCTCGTCAAGGAGTTCAGCCAGCGTCATATGGAAGGTCGGTTGCCGCATCCTAGCCCCCTCGAGGCCGAGCTCCTCGGCCACATCAAAGCCTTCCCCGTTCTCGTCGAGCGGCAATCCATCGTCTCCGTTCTCGTCCTCGCCCCCCTCCACCTCCTCATCCTCCTCGTCCGCCACGGATACAACACTGAGTCCCTGAAGCTTCCGAATCTCATCGAGATCAATCACCTCCTCAGGGGAGAGCTCGTCGGCGAGGTCCTCGTCCTCCGGCTGCGATTGCGACGACGACGGCGGTGGCGAAGCAGGGGACGGCTTGATGAGTCCGCGCCGAGTGAACTCCTCTCTCTTCTCCGCGATGGCGCGGTCAATTTCGTCGAAGAACTCGTCGTCAGGGTCGTAGCTGCCTCCGCCGCCGCCTCCGGCCGGGGAGGGGGACGAGAAGAGCGGGTTGTCGGGGGTGATCTCCGGCTGGCGGCTCCGGGCACGCTCCACGCTGCGCGCAAGCTGGTCGTAGCGGTTGAGGCCATGGGAAGAGTCCTCCGCGGCCTCAGGAGGTTCATCGTCGGCGGTGGGCGGGCGGAACCGTCGTGCGGCCGCGGCGGCGAGGCGTAGAGGGAGGCGGCGGGGGTTGGGAGGGGCTAGGATTCTGGAAGGCGGAGGGCGGGAGGCGGAGGGGAATGGGAAGGGGAGGCGGAAGGCGAGGGGCGCCGTGGCCATGGGAGGCGCGCCGTGGCCTGAGAAGGTGTGCGCTGCAGCCGCTGTTGGTGGGTGGTTTTGGTCGTTTTGGATTGGGGAGAACCGGAACTCTGGAAGAAGGGGATGAGGTGGTGGGGACTGGATTAGTGGGCTGGTTTTTGAATTTATGGACCGAGCGGTTTCACAAAACATATGGGCCGGGGCACCAAACAACTCTGGAAAGCTGAAGGGGACTGGTTAGTGGGCTGGTTTTTATGACCAGTAACGTGCCTGTGCCGTTGCGACCGGGCTTCATCTCCACGTCGATTCGGTCGGCCCCCTTTACCTCCGGCCGCCTCATAGGCGCAGGCAGCTGAGGCCTGAGGAGCTACCGTAGTATTTAGCTTAGTTTAGTTTTTTCATGCCAAAATTTTGGCATGGTATTTCTCCCTCTTGTTCTTCGCCGGTGATGATACTACTAGACTCTATTCCTCTCGTGGATCCGGAGTAAGGTACATTTTAGTACGCTTATTTGTGTTCTGACTGGAGTCATTTCTTTATCGTGTTGGATTTTGGATGCTCGGGGTCATGGTTTCATACATCATCAACGTCAGAATCTTTTTTCTTTTGCGAGTGTTCATATACCTTCCAATCCAAGCTTCTTGCAGTTTGGGTTGGATGTGTCATATGTGTGCACTCTTTAATTCTCGGGTGCCCAAACTATGGGGCTATTTGGCGGGCTGCGCTGCGCGTGCTCCCATACCGGAGCCATAGTCCTTCTGTTGAAGCCCGAAATTGTGGCTTCGCCTGCCGTACGAGAAAACGACTCCTCCCCACCCATTTCGCGCTAAAGTGCTCCTCCGGCCTACATCGTTTGGTGCGGCTCCGCTGCCGGAGTGCGGGAGCCGCACCAAATAAGCCCTATTTCCTCTATCGAATAAACGGGAGGCGCCAGGGGTTGTGGTGGATAGAATGAACAGGCGGCGCCAAGGGTTTGCGGCGAATGGATGGGCAACGCTTTTAGGCCAGTGTGGATAGTGAAAGGTCCTTGTTTGGTTTTGGTAATTGAGTGACAACCTAGGTGGACTAATTGTGTTTATGTGAGATACACAGGTGATTAGTCCACAGGTACATGTGTGTGAGCAACATATGCCATGAAGGTGGAAATGGCTCGGAGATGTTGCAAAGCTCACACATGTGATGATGAAAGAGCTCATTGCACATGAGACATGACATTGAGTCATGTGATCAAGGTGGAGAAGATCAAGACAAGACTTGGCTTGATGGTCCGGTTGCAAGCATGAAGGGCAAATCGGAGGCTTTGGAGCGATGGACCGCGTGGCGGTGAAGCTTGAGCAAGACTTGGCACCGATGGATGAAGGCAACGGTGAAAAGCAAGTGAAGTCAAGATCGATGAACCAATATGATCACGTGATGATATGAAGTGGATCGTATCATTGTTGATCGTGTTGGTGCATGTGTTGCATCGACATTGGAGGAGATGGAATGGAATGCGCAAGGCAAAGGTATTACCTAGGGCATTTCATTTCACCGGTCATAGGTGTGTAGAGAAGTTGACGATCGGGTTTAGAATAGATGGCCGCACTATCAAGAGGAGCAAACTTATTTGCATATCGGTCATCTAGTGCCACTTGAGTGATCTAACTTTGCATCGTCGCTAGGATCGAGTGGCGTGGCAAGTTGAGTGGCTAATCCCTTGAAAATGTTTGTGAAAATATGCTAACTGAAAGTGCATCTAGCCCTTTAGTGGGTTTTTGATGATTGAATGACAACGTGATTGAAGGTCTAACTCGTTTGCTAAGTGTGGACAGGTAATAGGTTATCTCACAGGTACTTAATGAAAGCCAAAATGATGTGTTGTTGTATAAACAATCTAGTTCAAGCACAAGACAACAATGCAAATGAAATTCATGCAAATGTTTATTTATTGTGGGATTTCCATGTACTATATGAAAGCAAGCTCGTAAGTATTAATTAATGAGACATGAGGGATTGCATATGGAATAGTCTCATATTTGAAGCTTGCTAAATTGAAATGAAAAAGATAACAATACAAATGAATGGATGATTCAACACAAGATGTGACATGATGGCTTGAGATGGTGAAGATAGCAAGGAAAGGCTTCGAGGTACTAAGCAAGGGTGAAGGGCAAGCGACGGCTTGGCGGCCGAAGAACCTAGCGAGGGTGAAGAAGAAAGTACTTGCATTTAGTTGAGGTACTAATCAAGCTATGATGGTCATGTTTATGTGGAGGATCAAATCACTATTGAAGTGTTTGATGGAAGTGACTTGATATATTTGGGATTATTCATATTTGATGAATGGAATCAAGTCACGTGCTCAAGATGGCTATGCTCAAGTGAAAAAGATCAAAGTTGACATGTTAGCACCCTCACTTGATGAAGATTGGAATACACGGCTTCGGTTGAAAGAGATCAACTCAAAAGGTTTAAATTCGTTATACTTTTAAATTTGAGTTAATATGAATGCCGTACTATTAAGAGGGATGCATCATGTTGATAGATAATGTTTCATAAGTGCTCAAGCCAACCCATGTGAGTTTTGAGTGTTTGAGAGACAAAAGACCTAACTTGTGTTTTGCTGGTCTGGCGTATTGATACCAGACGTGTCTGGTATGTGCCAAGCCACGATAAAATTCTTATTGTTCTCGGGTTGGTTCGTCGGAAGTTCTGACAGTCGGGAGTTCCATCGTTTCACGCTTAACTAACTTAGAGGGTTCACTGTCCTGGTCATACCGGACGTGTCCGGTATGGACGACCAGAGGCCAACGACTAGTTTTCAAAAGCCTTGAGGGTCGGGAGTTCCGACGGTCGGAAGTTCTGGCATGAGTCGGGAGTTCCGACACCTCACATACTTTAACTCAGTTACATGGTTTCCAAATATGCTGAAGGTCGGGAGTTCCGACGGTCGGGAGTTCCGGCATTCATCGAGAGTTTCGACGCCTCACATTGTCACTGTAACTTAGTTACCGTTGGGGCAGTGTAAGTCATACCGGTACATATCCGGTATGACAACGGCTATAAAACGGCTAGTTTTTCCAAAGGGGCTATAAATACCCCCAAGCCTCCACCTTTGGAGGCTGCTGATTCTGCTGGTTGCTATACACGTTTTGAGCCTTGCCAACTCTCCTAAACCCTCTCTTAGTGAGTGTGATCCAAATCGCAAAATCCATTTGTGGGTTAAGAGAGAATTTGAAAAAGAGAGCAAGCCACCACTTGAGCACTTGTGCATATTGTCAATCTCATGATTTACATTTGTTACTCTTGGACTCTTCGGTCCTAGACGGCTAGGCGTCGCCGGAGAGCACCCGAGAGATTGTGGTGTGTCTCGGAAAGTTTGTAACGGTCGATTCCGCCGCCTCGGAATCAACTAGTGGAAGGAGGAAAAGGAGTTGGAAAAGACTCCGGCTAGAGTGACCTTCGTGGTACCCTCTAGGGCTGCCTTCGCTGGGTCGCCCGTAGCCCCCTCAACAGAGAGTAGGACTCGAACGAGTCCGAATTTCGGTAAAACAAATATCGTGTCTCAATTCGCATTTCATTTGATATTTGTGTTGCTCTAGCTCTTGTGCAGGTTCTCTGTGTATATTGTCATCTCTAGTAGGTGCCTGTAGTTTAGTTTGAAGATAGAAATCGAAAGGAGCAAGTTCGGGGCTGATCTACAGAAATCGTGTATACCGGACACGTCCGGTATTCATAGCGGACACGTCAGGTATTAGAGCTTAGGGCTGAATATTATTTGATTTATGTTCTAACTTTGTGTTGCAGGGTTGTAGCTTCTAGATATATTCTTTATACCTTGTTTACTCTGTGGCTAACTTATGAGGGGTGATATTATTCTTAATTTAGAGTTTCCATTTTGGAAACTTCCTTTTCTAATTGTTTCCGCATTTAAAGGTGTTAATTTTTAGAAACACCTATTCACCCCCCCCTCTAGGCGGCATCCTAGGTCCTTTCAATTGGTATCAGAGAGAGGTTTTCACCTAAAGCTTCACCGCCGTGAGAAAAGGATGTCGACGCCTATCGAGTTGGAGCCGGTGCTCCTCCAAAATGATGGTTCAAACTTTCTATCTTGGTCAATTCATGTACTCAACGCTTTTAGGGATATTAGTCCTCTTGTTGAGCATATTGTAGATGCAATCATACCTCTTCCTATAGTTGATTGGAGCAACTACAAAAATTCGTCAAAAGAGGAAGAGATATGTGTGCAACTCAATGCTCAAGCTATTAATGTCATGTTGAGTACATTGAGTGCAGAGGTTTAAGATGAGGCAATCTTCAATGGACAACCACCTCCAGAGAGTGCTCATCTCATTTGGACTAGACCTTTTGATTTATATGGAAAATCCAAATGTGATGATGCACTTGAGATCAAGTCAATGGAAAGTATGTCCATTGTGTCTTCATGCAGCGAAGAAGCCTCACAAGACCTCAAGAGCGCCGAGCGGGAACAAGAAGTGCAAGCAGCGCATCACTTGCTGTCTGCCTGCAGCCTACCGGACGTGTCTGGTATGGCCAAGGCAGCAGACCAGCAAGCAGTTGTTTGCAATGATGCTCAAGCCCGGTGGCGACCAAGTGATGAGTCAATCTCAGTATCTCATGATACTTGTTGACACCGTTTTTTGCACGTGTCAAAATGATCGGAGTGGACTAATCGGCAAGGGGAAAGTTACTGTATACTCTGATAGCCGATGAAAGCCAGCTTGTAAAGATGGTTGCCGATAGCTGGTGGTGGTCGATGGAAAGGTTGATTTAGACTCGGGCGTTGCCGATGAGGTTGGAGGTGTTATTGTCGATGCCGATGAAGGGAGGCTTGAAGATTACTGCCGATGAAACAGGGAGTATGCCGATGAAGGAAGACTTGAAGACTATTGCCGATGAAACAAGGAGTATGCCGATGAAGGAAGACTTGAAGACTCATCGTCGATGAAACAGGGGAGTATGCCGATGGGAAGGAGGACGGTGAGATTTCCATCGTAATTGAGGCGAGACGGGGGAAATAG